AAAAATGATCTTTACACTCAGGGTACCCCAAAGGATGTTTACATTCCTAGTCACCCTTTCTTCATTAGATGTTAATAAAGTACCACCATTCTGAAAACAGTGCCTTTGTCATAATGAGGACCAGCATCTTCCTGTGGTTTCCTAAGCCTACCTCTATCCAGGTTCCAAGTTCTCTCAGAAGCATCACTTACCAGTTGATCCTCAGCAGCTGCTTCAATGGGACAGTGTCTGTGTCCTCTGTACTCATGGGAGTTTGAGCAGAGTTGACAGAGAAAGATCCTGTTCTCAGCACAGAAGATCCTCTTAGTATCCTCGTGGATCACACACTTTTGCTCCTCAGAGCTCAGGTCCTTCATGAGGCTGGCTTGTCTGACAATGGACACCAGCTTCTTCAAAACAATGTTGGTTCTCATTTCCTTCCCATATGGTTCTCTACACAAAGGGCATCGGACAGGAGGTTGGATGTCTTCCCAAGAAAGGTGGAGGCAGGCTCGACAGAAGCTGTGACCACAGATTATGGTGACTGGGTCTGTCAGGCAGCTCAGGCAGATGAAGCAGGTGAGTTCTTTCTGGAAGGCTTGTGAGAGGTCTGACTCCATTTTTCTGAAGGAAGAAAAGCAGAAGAATTGCTATTATTCCACCCCAGAGAAGCCAGAAACAGCACAAAAACTGATGCAAGTTGTGATTTAATTCTGTATATGGCAAAGCAGGATTCATTTTTCAGGAACAAAATATCAAGATAAGTATAGGATTGCAGTTGCTGGTCTTTCCTCTTTTACTCTTCTTGACAGAAATATAGATTAGTCTGATGTCCTTCTGAGCCATTCCACCTGCATCTTTTTTGGAGACTCCCTTCAAATTAGTGTCTTGGTTTAAGGTCTGAGACATGCTTTCCAAGTGTTTATAAATAAATATACACTAGAGTGATCAAACTCCTTCAACTCCACATGTTGGCCTTTCACTACAGACATAAGTAGGTTAAACACACCCTTCTTTGTTGGCTATCCAAGAAAACACTCCATATTTCACATGGTCCCTAGTAAATGCTTTGCTTAATTTCTGATTTTAGCATCTTAGTCCTTCACATCCTCCTGTCCCACCCCTCGACACTTGAAGGCAACATTAGTTACTTGACTTCTTTCTGATGCAAATAGTTAACAAGAATAAGAATTAGGGAGGCTCATAATTCAAGGATATGTCCACCATTGTGGGGAAGAAATGGTGGCAGGAGCTTGAGGGAGCTGGTCTCATTGCATCCAAAATCAGCATGAAGAAAGCAAGGAACACTTGCTGCTCAGCTCCTGTTCCCTTTTCCTTAGTTTGAGACCTCAAACCATGGAATGGTCAAGTGATCTCAAGAGCATTTAGTGTGGATCTTACCAACTGTAGTAAATCTACTCCCCAATAATCCTTCACAGACATCCCCAGAGGTTTCCATATCTATCCTAAATCCCATCAAGTTGAATTCTAGGGTACTCTCTGTGGAAACTTGTTTGTTTATCAAAGATACAGTTCCTGGCTTCAGTTTATGGGGCATAAATGTGGCTGTCATGACTCTAGCAGAATTTCCTATTTAATCAACAGGTACACATTGTTCCTTCTCTTGGAAGGTCTACACAAATAAAGAATCTTGGATTGAGTGAGATAAACATCCCCCAAATAACTTCAGCTTCTGTGGTCTGAAGCAAATGGACTCCATGGCTTTAGCTGCTGGTCCTATTTACCTTGAAAATAATACTAATACTCATTGTCAAGATTATTTTAGCAAAGAGATGGAGACTCCAATGCTGCCTTCCTTAACTTACCTAATCACCCCCATTTGGTATTTTTTTCTGTATATTAGATACTTCATTTTTTTTGGATGCCTAATGCCATATAAAATACAGGCTTACAGCACAATGGGAGAACCCTGGAGGGCAGAAGGTGCTAATGATGTTTTACAATCTTGCATATCAGCTGTTAATGCCCAATATGCAGGATAAAGAGACAGGGAACTTCCTGTAAGCATTCAGTAGGGTGGAACCCGGCAGGGAATTAGCATAGGGAGGATATCAAGGTCAAGATCAGCAAGCAAGCCAACAGTTACCCAAAACTGGAGCAGGGGCCAAACAGGTCCCCCCTTTTACTAAAAATGAGCTTCTGATACATCATTCCAAAACAATTTATGAATTCACAGAAATAATGAAAACTGAATGCAGAATCTAAGTACTGGGAGCTGACAAGTAGTGATGGGTATGCTGGCGTAGGGGAGTTAAGGGAGTCCTTAGGAGGGAGAAAAGCAGTGTTCCACCAAGATCTAATTTGTTCCCTGGGAAATGGGGAAGAGAGTGAAGAGAGGCCACAGAAAGTAGTCTGCTACAGAGCTCAGCTGAGACTAGAACATTGGATTTGGAGAGAAGAGTGAAGATCTTCAGTTAGCCTGCTCCTTCCCTAGCCTACTTGCTTCTCTGGCAGGCTTCACTGAGGGGTTCCTAGGGAATGCATGCTGGTGTTTGAAGGCTGGAATAATGTGATTAGAAGCAGAAAAGAAGGTTGGAGGGGAAGATCTGTGTAATCCACTAGAGGTGGGGGCAGAGAGGAAGGGAAGGTCACAGCAGTTGGTCTGCTACAAGGCCTGAGCTGAGACTAGGGGATTGGATTTGGAAGAGAGGAGGGAGAAGTGATGATCCACAGTTAGCCTGTTTCCCTGACTAGAGTCTCTGAACTTTATTTTTGTTTCCCATTAAAACCCCTGTGTTATATATTGCTGGAACACAGTAATGTTTTGTAAAACGTATCATTGTGGGCAGATTTTAAAACAGGCTTCATTTTACTCCATTGTATACTCATTCCAACAAAAGTAGCACAAGAAGCAAAGGCTTACCCCAGGTAATGCTTGTCTTTGAGAAATTGTAGCTAAAGTTTTTATGTGGCCATCCCACATTCTCTCTCTCTGATCTTTCAAGATGCAAGAGAGATGGGATAAAAATGAATGTGACTTTCCATCTAGGACCTCTTCTGACCTCCTCAGGCCCCAGACATGCATGTGGTGGACATACATAACATACATACATTTATTCGGGCAAAACACTTACACATAAAGTCAAGTAAATACATCTCTCTTTTTCTTTAAAGTGTAGTGGAAACAAAGCTTACTTATTAAGTAGCTATTAGTGGGCATGTACCTAGCATTCCATAACTGGAGATTCAATTATACAGAGTAAATCATCACACATCCTTTGGCATACATACCTACACGTGTGCAGGTACCAATTTCAACATTAGAAATTCATCTTCCAGAGACTACATTTAGCTGGATGAAATAAAATATTACCATTGTTCACAGCTGTCTGAGGTAATTAACAGTTAATCTGTTCAAAGTAATGTGCAAGGATTGTACATGTCTACAAAAATGCTTTTTTTTATTACTGGGTGTAACTATGCACATTGAAGACATTGTGGGGGATGTGTTTTACTTATGATTTAGGTAATAAAAATAGAAAATGGCTGGCAATGTTGGCACACACCTTTAACCCAGACTTGGGGGGGGCAGAGACAAGTAGATATGTGAGTTGAAGGTCAGGCTAGTTTACATAGCAAATTTCAAGGTTAGATGGGTCTACATAGCAAGTTCCAGGACAGCAAAAGCTACATAATAAGGAGACCTTGTCTCAAAACAACAAAAATCTTTAAATAAATTAAAATTTTACATTCATTAGTAGAAAATGTATAATTCTTCTATGTTTCATACTTAAAACAACATGATCTTGCAGTAGCAGTTAGGGTAAAAATCCTTTCAAAATTGTATGTGCTAGGTAAACCTTGGCCCAATGTGTGGTAGTGTTGAAAGGTGAGTGAACCTCTGCCAGATGGCAAGGAAAGGAGGGAAGAGGAACTGGATCAAGGGAAAATGCCACAAAAGGGATTAGTGCTAATCTTGGGCTTACTCCCATAATTGTGTATTACTTTTAATGCAGGGTCAAAGCACATTTGCTATCTCTCCACACATAGCTTGTTCCCTTTACAACTCTTCAACACATTGTAAAACAGCTAAGCAGGCCCACGGTAGAAACTAAAACAATGAAACTACCTGATCTTGGATTTTCAACCTAAAAAAGAAACTATCATCAAAATAAATTTAATCTCCTGGTGAAGTTCTAAACATTAAGTGTTTTGTTACAGCAACAGAAAATGACAGAGCACACTATTTGTCACAATATTTATTATATTAGCTGTATGTAATATCATGTCACAGTTAAGGTGTCATTAAGAAAAATTTCTGACATAAATTTCTATACTAAGGAGGCTGTTCAGTGTTTCTTAACCAATGTACCAGATCCCTGGCTTCTACCCAGCAGCTCCCAACATCCAGTTAAATAGACAAGAATGTCTCCAGACTCAGTCAAATGTACCTTCACAGACTATATCACCAGTCATGTTTATGCCTGGCCAATACTCAAATATTTGTTGTTAAAGTAATTATGTTTAACATTACTTGTATCCCTATGTATAATACACAAGTTGGTAAGTCTCTCTTATTACAATTTTTTAAAAATGAAAAGTCAGGTGGTTGTGGTACACACCGTTAATCCCAACCCTGGGGGGGGGGGGGGAGGGAGCAGAGCCAGGCAGATCTCTGTGAATTCAAGGCCAGCCTGGTCTACAAAGCCAGTTCCAGGACAGGCGCCAAAACTACACAGAGAAACTCTGTCTCAAAAAAAAAAGAAAAATGAAAATACTATGAAAATATTTGACAGTGATCTATTTTTTCTTTAGTGAGATACCCCTGCATGATAAAAAAAAAAAAAATTTCCCAAAAATGATTCATTGTGATCTTTCCACAGTTGATTCTTCTAGAATTAAGCTGGAAATGACGAATGATTAGGCACACTTCTCTTCTGTATGAATATGCTGATAAAAGGCTACTCACATCTCTCAGAAAGATTCCCTGTATTCATAAAATGAATTATCAAGAGTGACCTGTTAGTAATACAGTGAGAACAAATCACACTTGGGAAGACTAAATATTACAAACATTTATTTCACACTAATATGCCAGGCATAGGGCACAAAGACAAAGGTGAAAGATTTCTGTTTTCTTCAACCAATTCTTCAATCCCAATAAATATTCCCCAATGTTTGCAAGAATGTCCTTGGGCCAGGTGGTGTTGGTGCATGCCTTTAGTACCAGGACCCGGGAGGCAGGAGCAGGCGGATCTCTGTGAGTTTGAGGCCAGCCTGGCCTACAGACTGAGTTCCAGGAAAGGTGACAAACTTTCACAGAGAAACCCTGTCTCAAAAAAAAAGGTGGGGGGGGGGGGGGTCACCTTCACTTCACTTAGACATAAACTGGAAAACAATGCCTGCTGTTCTTTGAGTTGCCAAGTCTAGAAATATTGCATATCAGCTGAGTTCATAGTCTCCCAGCAAAGCTCACTTAACTTGTAATAGCCATAGTAGAGGCTGAGAATTGGAGGCTAGGTCCAGAGATATAAGAAAAAGGTCTCTGGGGGACATGTAGCCACTCTGCTACCCAGTATCATTCTATTGTACACACTTTGTGATATATGCCAATGCTTCTTTTCTAAATGTTCTTGATGTTCTTCAATACTATAAGACTTTTCCTAGAATGTGCTGTCTGATACTTCCTTAGGTGTAATGTATGGTTAATGAATGGGCTTTCAACATTATAGGCATTCCTTTCTCAAGTGAGTTCTCTGATGTATGCTGTGGGGAAATTTCTACTGGACAGATTCCATAATTATTCCATTCACAGAGATTTTCCTCACAGGATTATTTCATATTTCACAAGGTGTGACTTCCAGATAGTTTTCTAATGATTACATTTCTAGAAGAGTCTTTTGCCAGTGCAGGCTTTCTCATGCATATTAAGGCATGAATGATGCCAAAATGATTTTGAACTTTAATTATATTCATAGATTTTTTTCAGTTATAAAAAGTATTTTCCACATTCATGACTTTCATTGAGGTTTTCTCCAATATGAGTTAGATATATTTAAAACATGTTTAAAACCTCTATATTCTTTTACATTCATGTTTCCTCCTATGTAAATACTTAGATGAATTCCAAGTGTAGACCTGTAGTGTGGGACATTGTCCCATATGTATTACATTTATAAAAATTTCCTCTTGTGTGAGTTTTCTCATAACATTTTAAGGGCAAGTTCTGGTGAAACTTTCCTTTGCATTCAATATGTTCCTAATGTTTCTCAACCCTGTGAGGGTTCTCTCAGGTTAACTGAGAGTTGTTTTACAGAAAGAACACCTATACTACACACACTCAAGGAAATTCTTGGTTGGAGTATTTGAAGCATTCTGAGGCTTAAATAAATGTCTTTCTATACCCATCATCATCATACTTCCCCATGTCTGTGAGTTCTCTGATGCCTACTTAGGTTTGATTTCTGTGAAAATGTTTTTCTACATATATTGCATTCATAGGGTTTCTCCCCATAATGAATCAACTCATGTACAATGAGAGATGATTTGTAGCCAAACATTTTCCCACACTGAATGCATTCATAGAGCTTTTCACCTGTGTGAATTCTATAATGCTTACTAAGGACTAACTTCCACTGAAATGTTTTCCCACACTTATTACATTCATAGGGTTTCTCACCTGTATGAATTATCTGATGTTTGTTGAGATATGACTTGTTTTGAAAGGCTTTTCCACACTCTTTACATTCATATGGTTTCTCACCTGTGTGAACTTTCTGATGAGTTTTGAGGTATGACTTATTTTGAAAGGCTTTTCCACACTCTTTACATTCATGTAATTTCTCATTGTTGTGAATTCTCTGATGCCTCCTGAGGTCTGACTTTTGGTAAAAGGCTTTCCCACACTCATTGCATGCATAGGGTTTCTCACCAGTGTGAGTTCTATGGTGCGTGTTGAAGTAAGACCTGTTATGGAAGGTTTTTCCACATTCTTCACATTCATATGGTTTATCACTCTTGTGAGTTCCCTGATGCATTTTGAGGTATGACTTCTTTAGAAATGCTCTTCCACATTCTTTACATTCATATGGTTTCTCACCAGTGTGAGTTCTCTGATGCATTTTGAGATACCAGTTATGTTGGAAGGCTTTACCACATTCATAGCATTCAAAGGGTTTCTCACCAGTATGAGTTCTCTCATGTACAATGAGGGCTGACTTTTGCCTGAAAGTTTTATCACATTTACTACAACCATAGGGCTTTTCTCCTGTGTGAATTCTCTGATGACTAGTAAGGGAAGATTTAGTGCTAAAGAGTTTCTCACACTGGATACATACATGGGCTTTCCTCTGGTTATGTGTCCCCGGATGAACTGGAAGGTCTGATTGGCTAGTAAAGGTTTTTTGACTTTCAAGGCATTTACAAGATTTGCTCCCTGAGTATGTTTCTTGGTGTTCAGTGAGGTTGCCATCCACATTGTAGAAGCCTAAAAAAGGACCAAAAGAAATCATTTCTGTGAATTACACTTTAGGTTTTCTAATGGAATTCTCATGATCATGTTAAGAAATTTTTCCTATCTTACTAGCATAGTGTTTTAAGATCATATTAAGTATTAATTTATAAACTTTAGATAGAACATACTGAAACACACTAATAGGTTAACATATTTTTTTCTCACTTTATTTTATTTTTGTGAAGAAATATTTTGTTAAAATATCAAGCTGGGTGGTGGTGGCCGACGCCTTTAATCCAACACTTGGGAGGCAGAGGCAGGAGGATCTCTGTGAGTTTGAGGCCAGCCTGGTCTACAAAGCCAGCTTCAGGACAGGCTCCAAAGCCACACAGAGAAACCCTGTCTTGAAAAACCAATAAATAAATAAATAAATAAATAAATAAATAAGCTCCAAAGCCACACAGAGAAACCCTGTCTTAAAAAAAAACAATAAATAAATAAATAAATAAATATATGAATGAAATATCCATTAATTGCTAGGCATACTTTTCCACTCAGATAATGGTTACATTTTTTTTTACACTGTTCTATTCTCATATATACTTTGATATATGACATTTGTGACCTTTTCTTTCTGGCATTCTCTTTATTCTGGTCTAAAATGGGCAATAATTTCTAGAACATCTTCTTTGCAGATTATGAGAGAAGTCCAATGGACTGCTTCCTAACCTGAAGCTTCCCTTATGGCCATGAATTTGCATCTTAGTTTATTTAGAATTATTACTTCAGGAGTGGTCATGGATTGTGAGTTTTTCAAATATGAAATTTCTTCCTTTCCACTTCCACACAAAACAGATACCAGTAATTGAGGTCTTAACTGAACAACATGTGCTATTCTTTTCAAAACCAGAATAAATACAAGGAAACACCTGTCTACCACCACCCTGGGGAAATATGTATGTTGTATATCATCTCTAAAGTGTCTAGCTACTTGTGATCTCAAGAGCTTTGACATTCACCTCCAAATTGCTGATACACACTCCTGTGTCTTATAATCCATAGCTTATCAAGGATGTTATCATGTTTACAGAGACATTGCTTCTTTTAGTTTCATAAAAAGTAGACTTGCCGGGCGGTGGTGGCGCACGCCTTTAATCCCAGCACTTGGGAGGCAGAGCCAGGCGGATCTCTGTGAGTTCGAGGCCAGCCTGGTCTCCAAAGCGAGTTCCAGGAAAGGCACAAAGCTACACAGAGAAACCCTGTCTCGAAAAACCAAAAAAAAAAAAAAAAAAAAAAAAAAAGTAGACTCTTCTGCCATTTCTCATTATTTTTGTTGCTTTAGAATGAGAGAAAGAAAATAGAGGGGAGTACTGCACTCAGACTATACTCCCCATTTAAAAAAAAAAGCCTGAGTTCTCTTTTTTTTTTTTTTTTTTTTTTGGTTTTTTGTTTTGTTTTGTTTTGTTTTGTTTGTTTTTAGAGACAGGGTTTCTCTGTGTAGCTTTGTGCCTTTCCTGGAACTCACTCTATAGACCAGTCTGGCCTCGAACTCACAGAGATCCGCCTGCCTCTGCCTCCCAAGTGCTGGGATTAAAGGCGTGCACCACCACACCTGCCCGGTGCTGAGTTATTCAATATGAAAACTTATTTCACTTCTCCTTGATTCTTAAGTAGGAACAACACCTCTTCCTATGTTGGGTTCTCCTTCTGATTTTTTAGGCCATGCCTCACAAGTCTAACTTTTAGATCTCTTTCTCTATTTTCTTATCAACTACCTAAGTAAAATACTCTATAACTTAAACACCATCTGTTACTCACTATACTCTGGTTCAACATTACATAGAGTTGTTTGTGACTCCTTAGTGTAAATAAACTTATCTGTCCTTTACCAAAATGTTAATTCCATGAAGTAAAGACATTAGTTTTACATTTTTATTGATGTACAATATATAAAATGACCAGCACTTGAAATCTGCTTCATTAAAATGTACTAAAACAAAAACAAACACATGAAAAAATGTCTGAAAACAAAATCCCCATGACATTGGAGTGTAAGAGGCAACTGAAACTATGAAAAAGAAGTACCAGAGGAAATTATCAAAACACAGATGTCAAAGATTAGACTTCGAGTATAAATCTTAGAAAATTTTCATCAAATGAAAGGTAGGAACATATTCAAGAGAATTCTCCTTGTAGAGTATGTAATGAACAAGTTTGCACCCTCAGATATGGAACTTGGGACAAATTGGTAAAATGGCCAACCTATGCTAGACATGATCTCCCCATCCGTGAGTACAACTAACCTGGCAGACTCTGGTTTGCAGTTTCCTCTGCTGTCCATGGCTCTGCTCCCTGTTCCAATTTGAAGATCAACTCAGGCTTAGGAATACATTGTCCTGTTAATAAGAAATAGTGTAGGACTTAGAGAAAAATTCTGCTAATAAGGTTCTTTGAAGAAAGACAAAAACAGGTTTTAAGATCTGTGCAACCAAAGTGCAAATGTGGACCTTTCACTAGAGAGCACTGAACAATCATAATGTGTGGCCTAGAACCTTACCCCTAAACAGCTTTAGGTCTCACATTTGTTCAATGTTTACTACACTGAAAGTGCTTGCTCCTGAGACTACTTACCCAGGGATACCAGGCTGCTGTATGTCTCCAGCATCACATTCCTGTACAGCACCCTCTGAGTATCATCAAGATTCTGCCACTCCTCCCAGGTGAAGCTCACAGTGACATCCTCAAATGAGACCAAATCCTGTAACAGCACATTTCTCCTCAGTCAATTACTCTATGCTTATAAACAGGAACCTGAAGACCCAGCTTGTCTTAAGGAGTGGAAGGCTCTCATGTATATTTTACATTATAATTTCCCCTGCTTATATAGTGAAGAAAAAGAAATATCAAAGAACTATTCTGATATTATTGACTTATGAATGGACTACAATGATTAACTTATAGATTAAAACCTTCATTGTTGGTGTAAGAGAACCAAGGCTATTCAGGTAACTAGGCCTTAATCACATAGGGCTGCATGTGAGGCATGAACATACCCAGGCCTCGCTTCCCCTCTTAGGGGTTGGAGGCAGCCTCACTACTGTCATGTTGTATGGCTCATGCAATAATAATCGCCACTCCCAAAGAAAGAGTGACCCTTGTCACTAAGTCATGCAGCATAAGTCATATGTTAACCAAACCTGCTTCCTGCAAGACCTCCCCTTCCTCAGGAACCTTTGAAAGTATAACCTTTGCTTCACCTGGCATGGCTGAAACTCTCCTTCAGCACCCTGTCTCAATCACAAAAGCAACCACACACCATAGTAACAGTCCTATACACAGTATCATCATATATAGGTGAATGAACCTCCCCGTATTGTGACAACAGGAAAACATAAAATTGAAGGAACTGATTGTAAAGTGAATGATTCTGGATTTACTTATCTAGACTAATTCCTTTTTTTTCTTTTTCTTTTGCGTGGGGGAGAGGAGGGTTGTTTGTTTTTTATTTTGGTATGGTTTGTTCTGTGGGATGGTCTGTATGTCAAATGTGTTGCTGATTGGTCAATAAATAAATCACTGATTGGTCAGTGGCCAGGCAGGAAGTATAGGCAGGACAAGGAGGAGAATAGAGCTGGGAAGTGGAAGACTGAGTGGGAGAGACACTGCCAGCCGCCATGATGAGAAACAGCATGTGAAGATGTCGGTAAGCCACAAGCCATGTGGCAAGGTATAGATTAATAGAAATGGATTAATCTAAGCTGTAAGAACAGTTAGCAAGAAGCCTGCCACGGCCATACAGTTTGTAACCAATATAAGTCTCTGTGTTTACTTGGTCGGGTCTGAATGGCGGTGGGACTGGCGGGTGAGAGAGATTTGTCCAGACTGTGGGCCAGGCAGGAAAACTCTAGCTACAGGTTTGGTTTTGGTTTTTCAAGACAAGATTTCCCTGCGAAGCTCTGGCTGTCCGGGAACTCACTATATAGTCCTGGCTGGTTTAAAACTCAGAGATTCACCTGCCTCTGCCTCCTGAGTGCTGGGACTAAAGGCATAGGTCACCACAGCCTGGCAACTACTGGGGGAGAAGGTTTCTCTGTGTAACAGTCTGGCTGGCCTGGAACTCGCTTTGTAAACCAGGCTGGCCTGGAACCCACAGGGACCCTCCTACCTCTGCTGGGATTAAAGGTGTATACCACCAGCAGCCAGCTAGATATATCTAGACTGATTTCAGTGGTAAGTGCATGTCAGAGGAGCAGCAGGTGGCAATTGAAGTGAGAGAAGTCAGCCCACCAGGAAGCAAAGCTTTGATAGGTGAATCTTGGATAGGAAAGGCCCCGAGGACTTCAGCCCCAAAATGTCTCTTGCTACTGCTGTGCCTTTATATGTTTGCTGCTGCCATTTTTCACTGACATCTGACATGGTGTGAATGAGCATGTGGGGATCCCCGTTGCCTTTAATGTAGTATGATTACCTCATGGAAATAACCTGCTCTGCTGGGCATTACCTGTGGATTATTGTGAAGATGATTTCCTCCTAAACTGTACTGTAACTAAAGCAATGACTTTACACAATAATACTGTTAGTTTCAATAGAATTTTTTTGTTGTTTTGTTTGTTTGTTTGTTTGTTTTTCAAGACAGGGTTTATTCTGTGTAGTTTTGGAGTCTGTCCTAGATCTCACTCTATAGACTAGGCTGGCCTGGAACTCACAATGATCTGCCTGGCTCTGTCTCCCAGTGCTAGGATTAAAGGCGTGCGCCACCACCACATGGCTTAAATAGGATTTTGATGATTGACAGTCTTTAATAAATAGAGTAAGAGATTAGGTTAAAGGTCAGCTTAGTGGGAAAACTAATATAGGTAAAAGTTAGATACAATGTTGCCCCTGCCCCAATAAAGCAGGGCCTGCAGAGGATAGAAAATAAGAACAAGAAAATGTCTCTTGAGGAGCCCTATAGACATTGACTAGTGACTTAGGTTAATGATTAAGAAAAACAATTGAAGCCAGGCAGTGGTGGTGCACGCCTTTAATCCCAGCACTCGGAAGGCAGAACCATGTGGATCTCTGTGAGTTCAAGGCCAGGCTGTTCCAGGAGAGGCTCCAAAGCTACACAGAGAAACCCTCTCTCAAAAAACCAAAAAAAAAAAAAAAAGAAAAGAAAAGAAAAAAGAAAGAAAGAAAAGCAATTGAGTCCCAGTAGCCCAGATAGTTTAAATTCTTTTAACCTTAATGTTGGGAGATGTGCTCACAGGTTTTGGTGTACATCGTAGCTAAAGCAGAGCTTTAAATAAATAATGACTTGAGGTTAGGTTAAAAAGTTTTTGTTAATTGGCTCTGAGGTAGAAATATCTTGGAAAACGATTTAAAGGCATACTTTATTAGTTCACCAACTCTGTGGCTTCCCCCTCAATCCTTGAGTTGCTGGAGGCTGGTCCTCATGGCAGCAATAGGTAAGCTTTATATGCCGACTGGTATTCCTTACAGATTAAAGATGTGTACTCTGACATTCCAATATTTCCTTGCCCATACAAATTACTGCTTATTACTTGTTATTTGTAAGACCTACTAATTCCAAAATTATAGTATAATACTATGAAGTTGTTTCAGAACAGGTAAGTGAACTGAGCAGATCTGGATTTCAACAGCCATCCCCTAGAAAAACTTGAAAGGCTTATGGGATAGTCAGAAGGAAGAAAAGAGAGTGAGACATGGGAGTGTTTTCAGATACAGAGCAGGAAACACACACACACACATAATGTAAAAAATTATATTCTGAACTCAATTTAAAAAAAATAAGTAAGATAAAAATTGTAGACCACAGCATAAACTGCTACTAGAGGGAAACTGATGCATGAAATAAAATATTAGGAAGAATAAGCTAAGATCGGTAATCTAAGTTTGTGCCTTTTGAGAGCAGAAAGACAAAAATTGAATACAGCAATGGGAGAAGAAAAAGAATCAAAGAATAAATCAATGAAATTAAAATAAAAAGTTAGCATACAGAGCACACACACACACACAGAGAGAGAGACACACCACACACTCTGCTCAACAATTGAGGGGTAGAACTATTCTGGACCTGAGATCAGTTCTCAGGTAGAAATCAAAAGAAACACCTTTAATCCCAGCACTTGGGAGGCAGAGGCAGGCGGATCTCTGTGAGTTCAAGGCCAGCCTGGGCTACAGAGTGAGTTCCAGGACAGGCTCCAAAGCTACAGAAACCCTGTCTCGAAAAACCAAAAAAAAAAAAAAAGAAAAGAAAAGAAATTGATGGGACATAGGCTACAAAGTCAAGAAGAAGGCAGATATTGATGACAAAAATCTTGACTTTAGTGTTAAAGAAGAAACAGAAAAGTCACCAAAACAGCACATTATGTTGACCCATAACACAAATCCCCAAAATAAAATCCCATATATGCTCTGAATATAAATCCTTTAAATAAGAAACCAGTATCAAATCAAGAGTCTAGGAATGAGTCAATATTCAGAAATTAAATACTATACTTTGAAATAAACTTGGAGCTAAGCAAGTATACATGAAGAATACTGAAGTGAACTTGGATACTGACTTTTGGGAGTGGGCCACAACTACTAGGCAATTCTTCCATCTTTGGTGGAAACTAAATCCCCTTAGGCCTTATCTGTAGCAACTGGTTTGATCAATGAAACATGGCAAAGGTACCATCTGGGAAATTCATAGGCAAGGCTGCAAAAAGTCACACAGTGAGGGGGTCCCTGCAGGTGTCATACAGGGAAGCAAACCACTGAAGAGATAAGAATGAAAACTGAGGGTTGGGGATTTAACTCAGTGGTAATAGCACTTGCCTAGCAAGAACAAGGTCCTGGGTTCGGTCCTCAGCTCAAAAAAAAAAAAGAATGAAAACTGGAGCTGGGTGGTGGTGGCTCATGCCTTTAATCCTAATACTTGGGAGGCAGAGGCATGTGGATCTCTGAGTTTGAGGCCAGCCTAGTCTACAGAGCAAGTTCCAGAAGAGACAAGGTTACTCAGAGAAACCCTATCTCAAATAAAGGAAGAAAAGAAAGAAAGAAAGAGAGAGAGAGAGAGAGAAAGAGAGGGAGGGAGGAAAAGAAAGAAAGAGAGAAAGAAAGAAAGAAAGAAAGAAAGAAAGAAAGAAAGAAAGAAAGAAAGAAAGAAAGAAAGAAAGAAAGAAAGAAAGAAAGAAAGAAAGAAAGAAAGAAAAAACTGGTGCAGATTGACTTTGTCAACCTGGATCAGACTTTGGGGAGTCTAATGCCAGGTATTCGTTGTCAGCAATATTTAAAACACAGCACAATTTGGAAAAAGGTTTCTAGGCAACAATCGGTCCAATCAATCCAATTCCAGGTGCACAATAAAGCTCAAAGTGTGACTACAAAGAAACTCCTTTACAAGGTACATGTGACCATAAGGGTGAGTTCTATAGCTAAAAGACCTAGAATATAGATTGGTCTCTGACCAATGCATAGAGGTGAGCAGGCTATAAAGTGCATGGAACACCTTCCCTAAGGATTGGTAACTATCTAGGGAGGGAAGAGTCTGGAATAATCATTCTGGTGAATTTGGGCAACGTCTGCCTCTGTAGCAAAATCTAGGTAAAGTCTGCCTCTGTAGCAAAAGGTGGGTGAGGTCTGCCTCCACAGAAAGGAAAAAGGTCACCAGGTCATTAACAAAATCCACTCTCAGCTTTCTGGATGGAATAGTGGTATTTGGTTTTTAACTCCTCCATTGAGGAGACACTCCTGCAATGATTAACATTCCTGGTTCTCCTGGGGCTTCTCTGTGAGTAAAAGGGCCTCTGTGCCCCCAACAACACAGCTCTGTTAGGAAACTAGTCTTTAGGTACGAAATCCAGCTATTCTGAGACAACCAAAGAAGCACAATGAAAAACCAGAAGAACCCTTCTTCCTAGGACACATGGAAATTCCTGCAGCTGCCCACTGTCAGGCAACAGTGAGTGTTCTTGTACATCATCCCAGTTCTGCTTTCAGGGACCCACTCCAGCTGCCAGATCACTACAACACTGAGTTAAAGCCAGCCAGCAGAGAATCCCTATCACAGAACCAGCAGTCATAAACTATTCTAAGTTGTCACATTTTTAGGATGGTTTTTGATCCATGGTTTGAATATGAAAGATCCTCAACAGATTCATGCACCAGATGCTTGGTCATAAACTGGTGACATTATTTTTAGAAGTGAAGAAAACTTCAGGAAGTTGGGACCAGCTAGAAGAAATAGATCACTGGGGTCATGTCCTTCCTTGTACATTACAGTCTCTGGTCCTTTCTGGCCTCTTTGATAGATTTCTACAACCAGAAGAATAAGCTTCAAAGCCACTCATACCTACCAGTGTGATGTATGATGTTCTGTTCAAGGACAGGAGACCAGGACACCATAGATTCAACAACCTTCAATTACCATGAGCAACAACAACAAAAAGTCCTTTCCAATAGGTTGTTGCTCTCCAGTTATCATGCTACAACAATAACAAAAGCCTAATTCAAGAAGAATAGCTAGCTAAATAAAATATAATCTGTTATGTAGAAATGGGATTTTGTCTTAATAAAAAGTTATACACCGTGACCCTGTCATTGCAAGTAAGGTGAGGTCTAAAGGTTACCTGAAATTCAAACTAGAAGGACACCACAACACTTGATGAGGGTGTGAAGGGGGATCATAAATGTATTGTCAGAAATGGGTCAAAAATAGGGAGGAAGTAAACAGGGATATGAGCAAAATTCTTACCTAACAGGACACGCAAAATGGTAAGCGCAACTGAGTATCTCATGGGGCTGTCTAAGCAAATTCCTGGGGAAATGTACAAAGTACTACCTAGTTACCTATCTCTACCTTTGAAAAAATGAGAGTAGAAAGATAAAACTAATAAAGGATGCTAAAATTTCAAGTATTTAGGGAAAATAAACAGGTAGGATTTACTGAGATGGGAAAATGGTTTACTGGAAGAATTCAACCCAACGGTTTAGTAAAAAGATACAAGATCCCAAAGATATTCTCCTTTCTCAGGGAAGCAAGATTGATCTAGTTAGACATAATGAAACAAGGTTGTTAATGTGGGTGGCTTCTGTGTAATGGATTTTGGTGAATTCTAAGCACATATTTTTTAAAGAATTTACTTCGGTTTGATTTCCAGTACTAAAAGGCCACAGTCTGAAAAAGAAAGCAAGAGTTCCATTAAAACTGAGTGGGACATCGGATGGTAGCTCACACCTTTAATCCCAGAATTTAGGAGGCAAAGGCTGGTGGATCTTTTTGAGTTCGAGGCCAGCCTGATCTATAAAGTGAGTTCCAGGTCAGCTAGCACTGTTATACAAAGAAACCCTGTCTCTGGGAAAAAAAAAAAAAAAAAAAAAAGAAAAAAAAAAGACTGAGCAGGAGGAGACCCATACGCTTGCCTGGGGGCTGCCTGCCCTTGTCAGAGAGGAGAAAACTCAGGCTCACCCAGGCCAAAAGGCACCTGGCATTGGGCACTATATGGTGAACAAATATATGGTGTGGTATGGGAGAAAGAGACAGAATGGTTCATGTCCTGTGGAGAGAGGCAGATCTGAAGAGGTGAAAATGTTGAGCAGCAGGCTGAGATAGGTGGCCTGCTTGCCACCTGGAGTTATGGTGATGTCTGGGCCTGGGCTGCTGCCAGGGCCCATGTCTGGGTCAGTGTCCCTGCTGCAGCCACAGTCTCTGTTGATGTCTGTGGCTCCTGTGACCACCAAAGGCCAAGGATTTAGGCTGCACAGAGTTGGCCCTGCCCTTCACTGGCTGCAGCACTCTGGAGAGCAGGTCCTGCACCTCACCTGGGCAGCACAGTAGAGCTGACCCTGTTGGCAGAGTGCAGGTAAGTCGGCCCTGAGAGCATGAGTGGGATAGCTGATCCTGCCCTCCCCGCTCACCCCTTGCTGCCTGTGGCAGGAAAAAGAGCTGAGGTCATGAGAGTGGGAGAGCTGGCCCTGCCCCTCACTAGCTCCAGCACTTGAGAAAGTGGCCCCTGCTCCTCACCTGGGCAGCACAGTAGAGTTGACCCTGTGCTGTAGGTTTGGGTGAGCCATCCCCAAGGGGATGAGAGCAGGAGAACCAGCCCCACCCCTTGCTGCTTGCTGCATAGGATGAGTGAGCCAGGGCAGTGCTGGAGAGTTCACCTTGGTAGTGAAAATGAGGGAGAGCTGCTGGGCTGACCAATCCAGCAACCATCCAGACCCAGAACCAGGGCTATTAGTTGGCCCACCCCAACACGTGGTGATATTTTATCTGTGTACTCCAATAAAGAGCTTATCTGAGGATCAGAGGAAAAACCAGCCACTACAGTAAACATAAAAGTCAGGCAATGGTAGCATATGCCTTTAATCCTAGCATTCAGGAGGCAGAGATCTATCCGGATCTCTGTGAGTTCAAGGCCACACTGGAAACAGAGCCAGGCATGGTGGCACACATCTTTAATCCCAGCCCTAACCATAGAGGTCTGGAGGTCTGTACAGACAGACAGGAAGTGATATAGCTGGGCAGACAGAGGAAGTGAGATGGCAGAACAGAAAGGCATAAAGGAGTGGGTATACAGGAAGTAGGTCTCTCTGGAGGCTGAGGAGTTGGTAAGTGAGGTTGGCTGTGGCTTGTCCTATTCCTCTGATCTCTCAGTTTTCACCCCAATATCTGGCTCTAGTTTTTTTATTATAAGACCATTTAGCAATTCATCTTATACCAACACCCAGCCCATCTATGATCTGCTGGAGTATATGAAAGGGCCGGTCCTTCAGATCCAAAGCTGCAGGATCTCCATGACACAGGGCAACAACAGATATGAATAAAATAACAATATGTAATCAAATGGGGACTAAACAACTCACCACATATTCATTCATGATGTTTGTAAGTTGCTTGTTCATGGTTTTGCCCTCAGAAACACACAGATGATATTGGAGATACAGTTGAGAAAAGGAGACTAGTGTAGAGTCATGAGAGTGAGAGGATATTCATGGCTTGGTCCTAGAGTCTCCACGCAAAACACTATACAATTAGCTGAAAAAGAAGAAGAAAAGTTAAAATTGTAAGAAGATAGTTTCTAGGGGCTGGAGAGATAGCTCAGTGGTTAAGAGCACTAGCTGCTCTTCCAGAAGACCCAGATTCAATTCCCAGCACCTACAGGGCAGCTCACAACTGTCTGTTACTCCATTTCCAGGAGATCTGGCACCCTCACACAGACATACATGCAGGTAAAACACCAATGTACACAAAAATCAATCTTTTTAAAGAAGAAAATCATCCCATCTACAAGAAAGTGCAACAAAGAAAGCACTGACAATGGACTCACGAGTGCATTCAGAGCCATTACACATGAGAGTTATGGCTGAACTAATGAGTACAAACATCAGCAAGTAATGAACATGTTAGTAATAATTAACATTCCCTTTTAAAAGGAAACTAGAAGTCATTATGTTTGCTCTTACCATTAACACAGAAATGCACCTGTTACATGAAATAGTCTATTAATCCACCAAAATGGGCTCCATATGAGCACTTTCTCCTACTACTTCTTCCTTTGTACAGCTCATTTTCATGGAAAATATGCACATTGCAAGATTTGTTTTGCCCATGCTTATACAGGAAGAAAAAATTAAACAATGCACATTTCTTATAGGACATTGATTGTTACAGTAATGTTTCCAAATGGGGCATCTCTATGTATCCACACCCTGATTTCGTTCCCATGAATAATAATGAGCCATTTTACCAAGAGAACTCAGCAAATGTGAAGACAACCAAGGCTTGAAAGTATTTCCTGACTAGTGCTCACCTACTAGACACAATGGTGTTGTGAAGAACCTTGGTGGCAGCTTGATGAAAATAGAGCCTTGAGGAGACTCTGCAGGAACCCCTGAATGTGAGACGGAACACCCAGAATGAGACAGCCTCAAAGCACTGATGATTCAAACCTCATCTGTCACTGAAGGCAGCAAAAGACAGCCATTTCCCAGCTGAGACCAGTCCAGACATCGACCTACAGGAATGTGAAAAAAAAAAAATCAAATTGTTCTTTAAAGTAATATTTTTGTTGTTGTACAAGAAAAACTGATACATCTAATAATTTAGAATTCAATTATTTTAACATATAATGGGAAATAGTTTCCAAGCATGACAAACACAGTAAAAAGTATTCTATAACCAGATGCCTAAGGTTTGAAAACCACAGTAAGAATAGCTGAAGTCACATTATTCAAACCAGCACTGTCTGGCAAAAGAGAGTCTAACCTTTTAAACAGAGAAGCTGTTAGGTTCATGTGAATGTGGCATTCTGTAGTATTTGCATGTATAGGTTTAGAGCATAAGTTTAATGTGATCTAATTTCTTCATTTTACAAAACTGAGACTGATTCCTATTATTTTCATTCTTATGAATTTTGGTTTACAGAATGCTAGCATTAAGTAAAACACTTCTATGTTTAACCTTTAAGGTTACATAATGTACAGAATGTACTAATGATAACAGGGGTAGGAAGCTTAGCAAAAGGTATTTGGAAAGTATTTGAAAACCAGTCACCTTGTTCTGTGGTAAAGCATTTGCAGTTCACACTTGGACACTAGATTTCAACACCAAATATAGAAACACACAAATCTAAGGCATTTACATGGTAACTAGTAATCAGTATTAGAAAATATACAAACATTGGTTTTTGTCAGCTACACATGGTAAACAGACATACATGTGGACAATATACTCAAACATACAAAATTAATTAAAAGAGCTCACACACTGGGAACAGTGAGGGAAGAGGAAAAGTAAACCTACCAACCACTGATTCAGTCAGGTGTGACAGGGCACCTCTCCACACTATATCACAACTTCCAGATCCAATACATATTTCCCGGGTCCTTGCCTATCTTTTTCCACTAAGCTGGTAGAAGAGCACTAACCTCAACCATCTAAAGAGGATCAAGGCCCTGACTACCACCCATATATTGATAGCTTCTGAGAAGGTGGTAGCTTTGCCCAAAAATTGTTCTAAGCAATGGGATCAGTAATTGCTTAGGTCATGCAAAGCTAAGAGTTTTGCCTTCACTCTGCCTCTGTCCAAATGCACTAGTTGTGGAGGGAAGGTCATTAACAGTAGATCTTGCCTGCTGTGGAGCAGGTCCCCACTAGAGAATTTTCACAGGACTGAGATTGTTTGCATGGCCATTACACAGCTGGAATTACCTTCACAGTAGCTCTTGCTTAACGCCCTAGAGATGTACACTGACTCATGTAGACTGATCTTCGCACATCATGTATTACATGCCAGAGAAATGCACATAAAGAATCTCCCTCTAACTGAACAAGTATATCCCCTGTCTCCGACCTCACCCACAGTTCATTAGCCTATGAGGCAGGTGGTACTATAATTGCTTGCTCTTCTATTGCATTATACTCAATAAACATACTTTCTATTCTGGTCTAAAGGGCAAATTCATTAACAGCTCAGCAATCCTTCCCTTCACTGGCCACCAACGTAGTAGGCTGAGCACTAAGGTAATGGGGAAGGACTCCAGATTGGCCACTGTACTGTTCTGAAATATCATGATGTACAGGTAACTTTCAATTATGCAATGCCATGAAAATGTGGGCAGTTTTAGTCAAAGGGGCCTGTATCACAAGGCCCTGCAGTTTTGTAGAGTTAGGTGGCAGCATTCTAAGGCTTGGACCCAGAGCTAATTCCCTACCAGGACTCAGCGCTTCCTAGTCTCTTATTATTATTATTATTTTTTTATTTTGCAATACAATTCAGTTCTACATATCAGCCACGGATTCCCTTGTTCTCCCCCCTCCCGTCCCCCTCACCTTCCCCCCACCCCACCCCCCCATTCCCATCTCCTCCAGGGCAAAGCCTTCACCACAGACTGAGATCAACCTGGTAGACTCAGTCCAGGTAGGTCCAGTCCCCTCCTCCCAGGCTGAGCCAAGCAATCCTGCATAGGCCCCAGGTTTCAAACAGCCAACTCATGCAATGAGCACAGGACCCGGTCCCACTGCCTGGATGCCTCCCAAACAGATCAAGCCAATCAACTGTCTCACCCATTCAGAGGGCCTGATCCAGTGGGGACCCCTCAGCCATTGGTTCATAGTTCATGTGTTTCCATTCATTTGGCTATTTGTCCCTGTGCTTTATCCAACCTTGGTCTCAACAATTCTTAAGGTCTTCCTCCACACTAGAGTGATGGAATTCCTACTGATGAAACACCCTCCCCTTCAGAACTTGAAACCCTCTATTTTGTTCCCAAGAAAACGTTCCTATTTCAATACTAGAATCTCCTGAGAGGTATTCTCGTCTCTGGCGATTTGATATTTGCAAAAAACGAAACAAAACCTTCTAAGATAGTGGTTCTCAATGTTCCCAATGCTGTGGCCCTTTAATACAGTTCCTCATGTTATGGAGACCCCCCCAAGCATAAAATTATCTTTGTTGCTACTTCATCACTGTAATTTTGCTACTGTTATGAATCATAATGTAAATATCTAATATGCAGGATGTCTAATATGAGACCCTTCCCATAGGTTGAGAATCGCTAAGAGCTCCAAACCTGGAGTGCCAAGCGGCCACTGTCAAGCTGGCTACGCGGTGCATAGGAAGCCAAAAAACGTGACGAGACAGGAAATTTAAAGAACAGAATCGCCAACGCCCGACAGAGTCTAAAGTCAGTATGTGAGAATTTCCCTAGGAATTTCAGGTCAATTCATTAGGATAACAAACCCCCTCTTTCGTAGGGACGCGTGGGTCACAGGCCCCTTTCAGTCTCCAGCACTTACACTTTCAACTTACACTTTCCCAGGCTCGCGGTTTGGGATTTCTGGGTTCATGCTAGTGAAAAATTCCCGGTTCTGTAGTCTGGTCTCAACAGGATTCTTCACCGGCAAGGGCTAGAACTTGAGCTCACACCTCAGGCCTGCTGGCCAGGGCAATCTAAAGACACGCACCGCCCCCATCCCCAAGTCGCCATCTTGGGCTCTCACCTCCTTGGCAGAGCTTCTGTAAAGCCCTTGGACAATTGGAATCACAGACCCAGACACCTCCTAGCGCAGTCTTCTGACACAGCAACAATGAACGCACTGTCCAGGTCGTCTGTTCCAAATGGGAATGATGGATCCTTGCAGTCTCCTCCCAGACCCGCTCCGGTCTGCCCTTGCACCACGTCTCAGCCCCACCACCAAGACCCACCTATGTTTCTGCTTCCACCAAGCGAAAGGGTTCGGATCCAGCTTCCGAAGATCGTGAGGTCACTCTCCTCTTTCTTCTTCGCATCCGCCTCCAGGACCCCCGCATCAAACTCTCTGCCTGAGCGATGGCGTCAGCACAACGCCAGGTCGCGAATTTCTAAGCCACAGTTTCCAGGAGAGTGCTGGACAGAGGCGTCCACAAGCCGATTTGCGGGAGCTGTTTACCTGATCCTGTGAGGGGTGGCCCCGTAGGTGAGGGACTACATTACCCATGAGCCTCTGAGTAACTATGGCAAGTATAAAAGGACATTTTTCCACAGGTCCACACTTGAATTACTAGGAATAGTGCATGTCATGATTCAGAATAGGTACCCACCTCATAACGGTGATATGAAATTCCTTCACCTTTCTCTCAGTCGAACCGCAGATGTCCCAAAGCAGTATAGAATGTGAGAAGGAAGCTCCAGTGTATTCATTCTAGAAGCAAAGCAAATATCTCTGTGGGAGACACTGAGTCAGAAAATCGTATGATACCTGTTGTGGAGTATTCACCAGGGAAGACTGCTTTCAATGGATTTAAACCAATAGAAAGTCTTTATTAGCCGGCTGGCGACTACCCTGTGTGTTCAGGATCCCAGTGAAACCCCAAGCCTTTCTCAGGGTGAGCTTTTAAGCACAAAAACCACGTCCTGGGTTGACATACTTTAGTTATCAAGAAGAGTTACCCAGGAGAACTATAGAAGCCAAAAAGCAAGGTTAGTACATTTAAAGACTTTCCCATAACTATGGGCTTTGATAGATTAGGCCTTTGCTGTAGTTTTGGCAGGTGGTATTGTCTAGGTGCTGAGTTTTACAGTCTGAATGGTACTTCCATCATGGAGTCAGTTGTGCTATGGTCTTAGAGCCTACTAAGGTCTGGGGCCCTGTTACAATACCTTCTGTTGGCTGTCCAGAGCACCACAGGAAGTTGAATGCTTACCATTCCCCACAGACTATGAACCACTTTCAACATCAGCAGTGAACTGTCAAATTCAGCATTCTGGTTATACCATACAGTAATTTTCAAAATTCATGTTGAAATAGAACCACCATTTTGGATCTTGTGACAAGGATATAACAAGAAACTATGTAGAGGGCTAGAGAGATGGCTCAGAGGTTAAGAGCACTGACTGATCTTCCAGAAGGTCCTGAGTTCAATTCCCAGCAACCACATGGTGGCTCACAACTATCTGTAATGAGACCTGGTGCCCTCTTCTGGTCATACATGCTGTAAACATAATAAATAAATAAATCTTGAAAAAGATAAAGAAACTATGTAGATGGACAAGAGACAAAAGTCAAGGTATTTTCTGCACATTGCCAATAATGTATAGGAATAATTGGAATTTGAAATGAAAAAAAAATCACTTCCTCCTGGGCAATGGTAATGCATGACTTTAATTCCAACACTCCACAGATCTCTGAGTTCAAGGCCAACCTCATCTACAGAGGGAGTTCCAGGATGGCCAGAGCTACATAGAGAAACCCTATTTTGGAAAAAAAAAAAAATTACTAAAGTTGAAATCATTTTCAAGAAATCTTCAAAAATGAACTACTAGAAGCTGGGGGTGGTGGCACACATCTTTAATCCCAGCAGAGTGATTAAGGGAGGCAGAGGCAGGTAGATATCTAAGTTCTAGGCCATCCTGCTCTACAGAGCGAGTTCCACAACAGCAGAGACAACACAGAGAAAACCTGTCTCAAAAAGACGGAGGAGGAGGAGGAGGAGGAGAAGAAGAAGAATTCAGTAAACCAAAGAGTTGAATTGAGTCAAACAAAATCTAAATGAATAAAGACATTCCTTGCTCAGAGTTGAGTTGATAGATTCCACATTATTAAGATGATTTTTTTCAACATTATCTAAACATTCACTACAACCTTTTTTTTATGTGCATTGGTGTTTTGCCTGCATGTATGTCTGTATATGAAGGTGTTAGATACTCTGGAACTAGAGTTACAGACAGTTGTGAGCTGCCATGTGGGTGCTGGGAATTGAATCTGGGTCTTCTGGAAGAGCAACCAGTGAGTGCTCTTAACCACTGAGCCAACCCTCCAGCCCCCTCACTATAATCTTAATAAGGTTCCTGCAGCCAGGGTATGGTGGCACACACCTTTAATCCCAGCACTTGGGAGGCACAGGCAGGTGGATCTAGGCAAATTTGAGGTCAGCCTGGTCTACAAATCGAGTTCCAGGACAGACTCCAAACCTACACAGAGAAACCCCGTCTTGAAAAACCAGCTGGAGAGATGGCTCAGCGGTTAAGAGCACTGGCTGCTCTTCCAGAGGACCCATGTTCAATTCCCAGCACCCACATGACAGCTCACAGATGTCTGTAACTCCAGGATCCAACACCCTCACACAGACATATATGCAGGGAATGCACACAAAATAAAATGCACCAATGCACACAAAATAAAAATAAATCTACATATATATAAAAAACCAAATAATAATAATAATAATAATAATAATAATAACAATAATAAAGTTCCTATTGTGGTGATATTGTGTTTCCCAGAATATTGTGTACCCTAATAAACTTATCTGGGGTCAGAGAACAGAACAGCCACTAGATATAGAGGACAGAAAATGGTGGCACACACGCCTTTAGCCCTATCACTTGGGAGGCAAAGGTCCATCTGGATCTCTGAGTTTAAAGCCACACTGGAAACAGCCAGGCATGGTGACTCACGCCTTTAATCCCAGGAAGTGAACCTTTAATCCCAGGAAGTGATGGGATTAGCAGAAAGGTATATAAGGCATGAGGACCAGGAACTAGAGCTGGTTAAGCTTTCAGGCTTTTGAGTAGCAGTTCAGCTGAGAGCCATTCGGATGAGGACTCAGAGGCTTCCAGTCTGAGGAAAAAGGATCAGCTGAGGAGTTGGGAGGTGAGGCTGTGGCTTGTTCTGCTTCTCTGATCTTCCAGTATTCACCCCAATACCTGGCTCGGGTTTGATTTTATTAATACGACCTGTTAAGATTTGTGCTACGTCCTATGGAAGTGTTTCTGTCTGTGAAGTGAAAGGTGTGGTCTTACACTTACAGGGATTCACCTGTCTCTGCCTCACAGGTGCTGGAATTAAAGGTGTACGCCACCAGGTCTAGCCCTTAATAACTTATTCCTAACAAAGTAATGAAGCATCATCCTGAGGATTATCTTATAAAGCAATTGTAGCCTCCATTCACACATTCTTTCTTCCTCTTACACCATTTGGCCTAAAGGAAGCCAAATGTCATTTGCCAGGCTGTGCCAATTCTACAGCTCAAATGGAGCTTTCGATGACTGTACCCTGGATGAAAAATTTGACTTAGGGCCAAAAGCACCTTAATAAACTCATAGTTTCTGGATCCCAGAAATTATAATAAATTACTGAGATTTTAAGCCACTAAACTTTAGAAATTCATTAAGCAACAATAATAGGTAGTACACAGCCAGGCATGGCAGTTCAAACCTTTAATCCCAGTACTTGGAAGGCAGAGGCAGGAGGATTTGTGTGAGTGCAAGGCCAGCATGATCTATATGTCAAGTTCCAGACCAGCTAAGACTACATAGTAAAACCATGTCTCAAAAACAACAAAAGGCAAATAGATACATAAAACCAATAGCTATTAAAGCCACTGTCTGGTCCTTGAAGAGAAGGCTCATGGATGAAGTCCTTACCATACAAGAGTGAGAACCCGAGTTTGGATCCCAAAAACCATAAAACCAGGTAGATACAATGGCCACTGTTTTTTGTTTCATTTTGTTTTGTTTTGGGGGAATGTTTGTTTGTTTTTGTTTGTTTGTTTGTTTTTTGAGACAGGGTTTCTCTGTGTAGCCCTGGCTGTCCAGGAACTCTTTCTATAGACCTGTTTTCCTCAGACTCAGAGATCAGCCTGCCTCTGCCTCCTGAGTGCCACAACTAAAAGCGTGTGCTACTATCAGCCTGCTCATGCTAACCACCCTTAATCCCAGCACTCAAGAGATTGAGACTGGGGATCCACAATTGGTCAGGTTCAGCAAGAGACCCTGCCTCAAATAAAGTGGAGAGTGTAATCGAGGTGCAGTGAAACCACCGAATTGAACCACTCCATGGGTAGAAAAGAAAAAGATTATTGGGGACCAAACTGCCACAGCTTTTGAAGAGAAAAGCGGAGAAAAAGCAAGTAGATTTTAGATGTCAGCAGGGTGGGATCTTTGAGCTAACACTGGCTGGTTGGATTGATGGGCAATTAGCTGCCCTTGCTGAAGGTAGTTAAGCTTTGAGGACAGGATTAAGGGAAGTTCCTGGGTAAACAGAAACCAGATCCTTAGGCCTCTGTTTATCCAACAACAGTCCTCAGGTTACCTGTCCAAAGTCTTTCTGTTTAGGATATTGTCACCAGCACTACCATTTTAAGGGGCCACTTCTGACCTAACAGACAAGGAAGACACCTGACATCAACTTCTGGCCTCCATACCCATATGCATGAGCACTGGCACCACATGTGAACACATATACCCACATGCATACACATATACACAAACAAAAAAAATTATTTTAAATGAATGTATCCAATATGTAAAATAAGTAAATTCTCTTGTTCAAAGAATAGATGTCTAGTAATGTTTGCTAGTTAATATGATAAACAATAACTTCATTTCAATAATTACATGATCGATGAAATGGTAACTGAATTTTATTTTTATTTGTTTGTTTGACACAAGGTCTCTCTCTACATAGCCCTGGCTATCCTAGAACACATGTTTACCAAGCTAGTTTCAAACTCAGAGATCTGCCTACCTCTACCTCCTAAGTGCCAGTATTAAAGTCGTGTGCCACCATGCTCTGCAGGTAATTGAACTTTAAATTAAAGGAGCTCTTGAACAACACATCAAGAAAAAGAATTTGCATTTGTATAATTATTAAAAACCCTTTTGTAGCAAGGCATGGCAGGCATGTCTCTGAGTTCAAGACAGCCTGATCTACAGAGTGAGTTCCAGAACTACACAGGGCTATGAAGAGAAATCCTGTTGCCAAAATCCTAAATAAATAATTATCCTTTTATGAAATTAATAAATTTGCATGAGCAGACTCCCAGTGCTGTCCGATAATAACTGTCTATTGAACTCCAAATTCACTCTGCTGATCCAAACTGCATTTCTTTGATCATTCCTCTAGAATTAATACCTGTTAAGTTTCAAACCCAGGACAAATGGCTGAAGTGCCTACTTAACATATCAAAGCAGACCTGGCCACCAGGTTC